ATCCACACAATCAAAAGCCTTTGCGTAGTCAATAAAGCATAGGTAAACATCTTTCTGATATTCTCTGCTTTCAGCCAAGATCCATCGGACATCAGCAATGGTATCCCTCGTTCCATGCCCTCTTCTGAATCCAGCTTGAACCTCTGGAAGTTCTCTGTCAATGTATGAATGTAGCCGTTTCTGTATTACCTTTAGCAAAACTTGACTCGCTTGAGATATCAAAGAGATTGTCCGATGATTTCCGCCTTCCGTTGGGTCACCTCTCTTTGGAATGGGCGAAAATATGGATCTCTTCCAATCAGTCAGCCAGATAGTTGTCTTCCAAATTTCTTGGCAGAGATGAGTGAGTGCCTCTTGTGCCACCTCACTTTCTTGAAAGATTTCAATTTTTATTCCATCAATTCCTGGTGCCTTGTTCTTTGCCAGTTCCTTCAATGTACTTTGGATTTCCTCCCTGAGTATCATTGGCTCTTGATCATATGGTATCTCTTGAAATGGTTGAACATTAACCATTTCCTTTAGGTACAATGACTGTATATTCCTTCCATCTTTTCTTGATGCATTCTGCATCATTCAATCATTTGCCCAGAGAATCTTTCAAAAACGAAAGTCGAGGCTTGAATTTTTTCTTCAGTTCCCCCAGCTTGAGAAATACTGACCGTGTTCTTCCTTTTTGGTTTTCTAATTCCAAATCTTTGCATATTTTATTATAGTATTTGGCTTTATCTTCTCGAGCTGATCTTTGAAATTTTCTGTTCAGCTCTTAGACCTCCTCAATTCTTCCATTTGCTTTAGCATCTCTACGCTGGAAAGCAAGTTTCAGAGTCTCTTCTGACATCAATTTTGACCTTCTCCTTTCTTGTCTTAATGACTTTTTGCTCTCTTCATGTATTATGTTCTTGATGTCATCCCACAACTCTTCTGGTCTTCGGTCTTTAGGGTTTAATGTTTCAAATCTGTTCTTCAGATGATCTCTAAATTCAGGTGGGATATATTCACGGTCAGGTTTTGGCTCTCATGGACTTGTTTTCATTTTCTTCAGCTTCATTAAGCCATTTTTAATATCAGGAAATCCTATCCATGATTTTCTGAGCTGCTGTCAGGAGAAGGTAAAGGAGAGGGTCAGCAAAAAAAAGGAAGACCCTCAGCGAAATGGACTGATACAATGTCAACAACTGACTCAAACATAGCAACAATCGGCAGGACCAGGCAGTGGTTTTCGTTCTGTTGTGCGTAAGCTCGCTATGAGTCACGACTAACTAGGCAGAATCTAACAACAATAGGAAAAGAGGAGCTGACCCTAGTGTAGCTCCTGGAAATGCAGCAATTCAGTCAGCTCTGGGTGTCCCAGTTTCCTAAGAACATCCTGGTCACCATGCCGAGGTACCTAACAGTGTGCCGGATGCAGAGGTGGGGGCAGCTGGGGCCTGTCAGCTCAATGCACACCTGATTTGGGCAGTGTCATGGCATGGGCAGTCTGGAATGCTGTGGGCACTAGCCTGCCCAGGTGGCAATCCTGGAGTTACCTAAGCCTTTGCCTCCATCTTCTCATGTGTAAATTAGAAGCGACAAGAGAAAGGACTTCAAAGGACTCCCATGAAGAGATGTAAAATGCTTATGATCACAACTACTCAGGAATATACTGGCACTTAGTTGATTGAATGAGTAACTCAAAGTCCAGAAGCCAGGATTCCAATCTTAGCTCCACCTCAAATGGGCTGTGTGGCCTCAGGCAACTCACTTAACCTCTCTGTGCTCCAAATCCTAACACCTCTTCAGCTGTCCTATGATTCAAATGGGTCTCATAGGTGCAAATGTGATTCCATAAGAGAAAGCATTTGTATCACCATCAACTCAATCCCATCAGTGTGGGGCTAGACTGCCTCCTGGGTGTGACACCTAGTGGTCCCCCAGGATGGAGTCCAGGGGGGAGGAGCACCCATGATACAGCTCAGTCTGACCACGCTTCCCATCGGGCAGGCAAGTTCCCATTAAGACAAGTTGAGAAGCGTGTGGCCTTCGCCTCTTCCTGATGGCCTCCCTATCCCTGCGTCCCTCCATTGTCATCCCAGGAGTCGGGCCAGTTCCCCTGCCACCTACTTGGACAGCCCCATAGCCTATGGAGAGAAGCTGGGCTGGGATGTGTCCTTTCCAGAATGCCGCTGGGCCCTCCTCCTGCAGAATCTGTCTCCCAGCCTGGAGGATGCCGTGGTACTTTGCACGGGGGTCACTGCGGGACAGGCGTTCGATCTGAAGCTGGGAATCAAGCCGGACAAAGTCAGAGGACAGGGGAGGATTACCCAACAAGCAAGGTACATGCCTGGACTTACTTGTGCTTACATGCTGTCTGTGGTGGACAATCTCACCTGTGATTAGTAAGTAAGCACAAGATAGCCCATGCTTACCTTGCCTCCTGGGGCCCTCCGTCCCTATCAGGGAGTTGGGAGAGAGACAGATGACAGTCACCCCTGGGAGGAGAATCTTTGATGGGTACCTCGCTTAGTGGGGCACCTGCCTCCGGGTGAGCAAGAGAACTTTGAGGAATGCAGTGAAGGTTAAGAGGGCAACACTTCACCTTGGTTACACAATTCCAGATTCTGGGACTGGTTTTGAAAGAGACCCTGACCGTTGCCCTCCCTCTAGCTCACCTGGAAACGGATCTTGATGACATCCAAGGGACTGATCAGTGCCCGAGTGACAAGTCCAGACAAGGAGCCAGCCACTGCCACCTCGAACTTGGAGATATTTTTGCCATCAGCTCTGGGGTCATAGCCGACCATCCCTGCCTCTGGCCCATTCAGCGTCCATCCGTAGCAAGCTAAATGCAAGAGTCTGAGGTAAGCGCCTACGGGGCTCTGCTTGAACAGCACCCGATAAGTTTGCTCTTCTTTAAAGCACGTGTCACTCGGGGACATTCACACTTTCTGACTCACCCCCCCCCCCCCCCCCCCCCCCCCCCCCCCCCCCCCCCCCCCCCCCCCCCCCCCCCCCCCCCCCCCCCCCCCCCCCCCCCAGCCTGGGTCACCATCAGCAAGCATACTTGCTTGTGGACTGAATGGATAAGCAGAGCCCACTGGGTGTCCCAGTCACCTCTAGCTTTTGGAGGCAGACCTCCAAACATGGCCAAGTCTCGGGCTGTGTTGGAGACAGAGCAGAGCCCACAGCAGTGGACCATTAGGAGGACTGTCAGACACGCAGGCTGTTGGGATTCTCTACCAATCTGCATGAACCTGATGAAGAACCCAGGGCCCTGAGCCCTTTGGTGCCTTCCCCCTGCCCTGCACACATTCCAGACCCTGAGCCACCAAATAAATGCCACTCCCCGGGCCCCATCAGATCTGGACCCCTTGAACCACTACAACTTTACTCTGGACCACTGGTCCCCTTCCCTAACTCCACCAGTGTGTTTCAGCGCTTCTGGGCAGTTCAGGGCCTAGGTGCTGCCTTGCTCTGCACCTACTATTCCCATTCTGGAATGTATGCCCCTGTGCCCTTCACCAGGCTGGCTCCTCCTCCAGGAAGCCCTGCAGGCTCTCCTCCAGTCTCACCCTGTGCGGTACTTATTCCCACCCTTGCGTTCCAGCCCTTTCCAGCGTGTCTTCCCGCAGGAGATAAGCTCCATTAGGACTGACAACCCGCTGCCATCAGGTTGGCTCCACCTCATGGCAACCCTAACCCTGTCTAAGGCTTTCAAGACTAAATCTTTATGGGAACTGAAAGCCTCATCTTCCTCTCGCGGGGTGGCTGGTGGGTCTGAACTGCTGACTTTATTCTTAACAGTCTAGTGGTTAACCTGCAAGGCCGCTGGGGCATTAGGACTTAATTGGTCTAATTACAGTTGGATCGCCAGAGACCAGCATAGTGCCTGGCCCATAACACAGGCTTTAAAACCAATTAACGAGTAAATGATTAAAAACCAAATAACTTCATGATTACAGAAACAACGAGGACCTTGTAGAGAAAGAGGGAAGGGGGAAAAAAATCCAAAAACAAACATCTTGATGCTTTTGACTTCATGTGTCTCATCTCTAGATTTTCTCCTGTTCACAGCTTTTAACTATTTTACACACTTCTGTCTTTAAAAATATAAACTGTCACAACCCTTTTCCATCTTGATACATGATCTTCAGAAGTTGTCACTTTAAATCGTGGTGATGGTGTGCCAGGAAGTCGGTTCCAACTCATAGTGGATCCTGAGGCTGTAAATCTCACAGGAACAGACTCATCTGGCTCCTGCGGAACGACTGGTAGTTTTGAACTGCTGACCTTGAGATTAGCAGCCCTACTCATAACCATTACGCTACCAGTGGCAGAATAAAATTCCACCAAGTAGCTACGCACAATGTATTGAGCACTGGGGACTTCTAAGTATGTATTTCTTTTGAAAACAGTGAATTCCATCTTGATGTCGATCAGTTTCTCTTTGCCACTACTGACACTGTGGACCGACTGATGGCCTGCCGTAGGGCTGGGCTGCGTGCATTGTAGGATGTAGCGTCTCTGGTCTCTGCCCACTCTATCCCAGTGCCACCCTACTTCCCTTACTCAGGTTAACAATCAAAACTCTCCAGACATTGCTACAGGTCCCTGAGGGGGCAAAGCTACTCCTGCTTGAGGTTCACTGATCTAGAGATTCTGGCATGACTGGCTAGAACATTATGTATCATTATTCCTAAAACTTGATAACCATCCGAATGATCATCAAACAAACAAACAAAAAAACAAAAAACAACTCCAACCCAATGCTATGGAGCTAGTCTATTCCCAGCGACCTTCTAAGGATGGCCTAGAACTGATTTATGGAAACAGATTGTTACATCGTGCTCTTGCAGAGCAGCTGATAGATTTGAACTACCGACCTTTTGGTTGTCAGTCGAGCACTTTAACCACAGAGCCACCAGGCCCTTTTGCTTATCAGTAATTGTTGTTCAGTGATATGGAGTCAATTCTGACTAATAGCGACCCTGTATGGGGTGTCTGAGGTGTAGCTGGTGAGTCTGAACCGTCAACCTTGTGGTTAAGAGTCTAGGGCTTATCTTACAGCACCACACTTGTTGTTGTTGTTGTTGTCAGGTGCCATCGAGTCGGAACCGACTCACAGCGACCCCATGCACAGCAGAACGAAACAATGCCCGATCCTGGGCCAACCTCACTACCGCTGCCACACTTGACCTAGGACTTATCAATGGAGGATGGACAAACACACTGTCACACCCATGGAATGTCACAGCGTGCAGCCATTACGCAGCGTGAGCGGAGCTATACGCCTTCACTTGTGAAGCACCACTTGACCACTGTTGCTGCTAAGTGCGGTCTGTTGTTAGGTCAGTTCTGACTCAGAGCCCGTGTATAGGGTTTCTGAGGCTGTAAATCTTTGTAGAAGCAGAAAGCCTCATCTTTCTTCCATAGAGTGGCTGTTGGGCTCAAACTGCTGACCTTGTGGTTTGCAGTCCAGTGCTTACTGTACAGAGCCGCAGAAGAAAAAGCAGGTTTCAGAACAAGATGCATAGTATAATCCCGTTTTTGTGAGGAAAACCAGCAAGGTTTATATACACTCTTGTATTTAAAAAGGTCTATATGGCATACACACCAAGGGTGCATTTGGGGGGGGTCAAGGGAGGACACTTCTCTCCCTGTTCCTTTACACACATCTGTAGTTTTATTATTGTAACAAACAAACAAACAACCTCCACCAAATATAAAATGAATTTAGAAGAGACCTCAGAAGTTACCTAGTTCTTAATTACCTTTAGTTAATGGGGAAGTCACTACCTACACAATGACAACCTTAGAGCCAAAGAATCCTGTCCTTCCCTCTCTCCAACCTCAATCATCGCTTCCTTTTCTCCTCTCACAGACTTCCACCCTGGAGCTCTAGGGCTGACAATTCAGTCTCAAGACCTCAAACACTTTTCCTGAGACCCCAGTCATGCTTTGCTGCCCCATCCTTAAAATCCATGAAACATTTCCCCAGACCTCTACAAGTCTAATGGTCTGAAACCTCCGGACCCATAGCAGCAATAGTACATTTCTTTTTCTTGGTGGCTTTTTCCACACCTCACAGGAGACCTGGCCTCTCCCGTCTACTCTCTGTGACTGAGCTCACACGGAGCCTCCCAAGAAGCCTGGGAGGTGCACTTAGAGAAGAGGCAGACAACCGGGAGGCTAGGCCCACCCAAGCTCACCCAGAGGCTGTTGAGGTCATAGTGGGGAGGGGGCAGCATGCCCCAGTGGCGAGCAGGTGTTGAGGCTCAATTTTAGGACGAGGCCAGAGCAGATCAGACTCTTTACTCACAGAGCTCTGCCTACAACGAGTGATGGGGGCTGCTGGGTCGTGAAGATCTTTCTATAAATAAGTAGCTCCGCATAGCTGGCATAGCCTTAGACCTCAGATCAAGAAGTCTAAGTTCAAGTAATGCCTCCCCCATGTACCTTGGGCAGGTTTCTTTAACCAAGACCGTGTTCTCTTTTGGGAAAAGTGCATGATGTTTGCCCTGTGTAGCCCAGAGAGCTGGGACAATCAGATCAAATGTTATATATGTGACTGGGTAAGCACTGGACTGGTGCTATAGGATAAGCACTCAACCACAAGAATGGTTCTGAATCACAAGATCAGCAGTTCAAACTTACCAGTTTAAACTAGGGTTTCCTATACAGGGTCGCTATGAGTTGGAAGTGACTTGTTGGCACTTAATTTAACTGTGAGGTTGGTCACTGGAACCCACCCAAAGGGACTTGGGAAGATAGACCTAGCACTATGCTTCCCAAAGATCACGGCCTGGCAAACCCTAGAGCGTGCAACTGTGACTCAGAATCTACAAGTATATACAAGAGAGAACTTGTTAAATAGAGCCAAGGGTTTCCAAGGCAGTTGTCTCCACAGAAGCAGACGGCCATATCTTTCACCTGTCCTGTGGTTGGTGGGTTCCATCACTGACCTTTCAGTTAGCAGTGGAGTGATTTAACCACTTCTTACACTAATGTTGGTAGGTGACCTTTAGTTGGTTCAAGTGACAGCGGCCTTGTACAGGATTTCCCAGGTTGCAAATCTTTGAAGGAGCAGAAAGTCTCACTTTTCTCCCATAGAGCAGCTGGTGGATTTGAACTGGCGACTTTGTGGTTAGCAGTCCAGTGTTTATCCTACAGTGCCACCAGTGCTCCTTCTTATACTAATAAGCCTTGGTATTTATCTGATGAGACAAAACAAAAACAAAATATGATTATATGCAATATACACAAAAAAACAGCACTGGACACTCAGAATGCAGGAAGGGATAGGAAAAGACAGGAAAGGGAACGGTACCACAGGGAGACGTGGGAGGAGTGTGGTTATATTGTGGGGATTGTAATCGATGTCCCGAATCAAAATGGCTAGGAATGGTTAAGTTTCACCCAATCAATCACAGTCAATTAAAATACAAGCCCAGCATCCAGAAGAAGTGCGGTGCCAGACACTGGGCATTGTCGACAAGACTAGCAGGGTATATAGCTGTGTGGCGAGAGTTAGTCTTCACCCCTTCTCTGTCTATGGAACCCCCGGGTTTCAGGCACACAGGTGTCCCGCGGTGACAGCGCTCCTGAGCGCATGTGTCCAGTTGTCCCAATTTGCAGGTTCTCTGCAGTTTTCCGCGCGCATGGTCACAGGGGCCCAGATGTACCGCAGGAGGTGTTTTCGCCCAGAGTTTGAAAAGACCCCTGGAAGGTAGGCACGCGCCAGTCCAGGTGTCTCCCGTGCCCATGAGCTGCTTCTTAGGTTGGGTGTGACACGTGTGCCCTGCATGGGCACTCGCTCATGTGTGCTCCCCCTGGCCAGCC